CCTTCCCCCCCTTTTTTAAACCAGCTTGTTTGACACAGGATGTGATCAGTGGGACGTCAATCTAAGATAAATTAGTGTTGGGTGGAGATCAAGTCTATTTCTTTTGGCATGCTTTATATTTAATAGTCTGAATCTTTGAAGTGAAATATATTTTGTTTAAATTCATATTTATTTATTTTTTCAACAGAAGTTACTGAAATCCAGGAAATGAAGGAAACATAGCTTGTACATCTCAGTCAGCAGTGGAGTACGTCAGGAGGGCCAGACTCAACCTGGTGAGAACATTAAAGAGGCTCACTGCTGTGATTGTGGAGAATCTGTACCAGAGAGGAGTTTTCTCAGAGGAAGAAGTCAGTAAAATAAAGACAGATGGTGGCGACTTTGACAAAAGGAGAAGAACTGTGGACTCTGTCATCAAAAAGGGGGAAGCAGCTTGCTATGAGTTTCTCAGGATTATTGACATAATAAAGAGATCCACAGAAAGCTCAGTCTGTTCTGGAAAATACAGAGACAGACTCTTCTTTGAAAGACGAATTTGACCTGAGCTACTGGATCAGCTGCTTTTCCTTCAAGGAGGACACCAACATGGATGTAACGTATTTACAAGGTATTTTTAAACAAACTGAAGTCAGTGGCATGTTTTAATGTGATCACACTCATTTAAAATGCAGTGTTGTTCAGTGACACATGAGTTAAATCACTAAATCACTTTTTAATTAATTTCTCCTTTCTTTCAGGGCCCAGCCCGTGCCACAGATACCAGCAAAAGCTGAAATCAGAAACTCAAAAGATTTCAGAAAGATCATGGATCCAAAGTAAAGCAGTCCTGTTCAACAAGGAGACATCTTTGTCGTACACTTCACTTGTGTTAGACACACAAGGACAGGCTTCACCATCCAAAATAAAAAAGTCAAAGATCAAAAAAAGCAGGAAGGTTCGTACTAAAAAACTAAAGGCCTACATACCTGAGGACAAACAGGAAACTTCCCCCAGTGAACTGCTGAAAACGTATGAAAGAAAAATCCTTTTGGTAGGAAAACCTGGAACTGGGAAAACGGCTGTGGTCCATCAGATGTTGAAACTATGGTCAGAGAAAGACAACAAGGATCTAGATTACATGTTCTACTTTGATATGAGAGAAACACCCAACATCACAGAGGTCCATAAACTGGAGGATCTTCTCTTCAGTGTGTTCAATGAACCAGATGAAGGCAAAGACAAAGTCTTAGAGGACATAAAGAATAATGCTGACAATGTTACTATCATTTTTGATGGCGTTACAGATATCCCCTCTACTTCTGTGGTGTTTAAGCTCATACAGAAGACTCTTCTACCTGAAGCAAAGATCATCATCACCTGCAGACCAGAGGTGGAGTCAGCAGACTTCCTGTTAGGTTGGGACTGTCTCAGAGTGGAAGTGAAAGGCTTCAGTGAGCAGGGCATCAGAGAATACTTATCCAAGTATCTGAGTGAGGAACACTTCAACAAAGTTTTGTGTAACTTGGAATTATTCTCTCTGTGCCACGTCCCCATGTACGCTCTGATGGTGGTTGCCTGCTTTAGTTTTGAGGGCTCAGAGTTCTCTCCACATCCCTGCACAGTTACAGAAATATACCTCAATATCCTCCATTTCTGCATTCAGAGAAATGTTTGCAAGACATCTGAAAATGAAAGCACTAAATGGGATGCAGTACTGTCTTTATCTGAGGCTGCTTTTTGTGCAACAGAAGGAAAAAATGTGAACCTGAAATCACTGCCCAAATTAGAAAGCTGTGCTTATTTAGCTTTTTTGAGCAGGAGTGTATCTCAAGTCAGCTCAACTGCAAAGAAACCCTTGTGTGCCTTTCTCCACTACACTGTTCAAGAGTTTTTTGCAGCACTGTGGGTCTTGAAGGATCCAGAACGGACCAGAAGTGTTGTCCAACAGTGTCTGACTGACAACATCAAACACATGAAACACTTAGTCCCCTTTTTGTGTGGACTGTTAAATGATAAAAACACTGATTTGCTAGAAAGTCTGATTCCTTCTCAGCAGCTCAGAGAAACATCTGGCTGGTTCTTCAAACACTTGGTGACCACCTTTGTAGATCGTAGTGACACTGAGGACTGTGAAATAGACTTGCTGTTCTTATGTCAGTGTCTCTATGAGTCTCAGTCTGCTGAAGCCTGTGTTTATCTTCTGGATAAACTGGACTACTGTCTTGATCTGAGTGGGGAGACTCTCGATCCTCAGCAATGCTATGCTGTGTCCTATATAATCAGCCAGAGTAAGGAGAGGAAAATACAGCTGAACTTGGAAAAGACAAAAGTATCAAAACAAGGAATAAGACCATTACTAGGATGTCTGAGCAAACTCCAAAGGTAAGTAAGAACATATAGTTTACGTGTTTGTTTAATCTAAATATCTGTAGACTTTTTGACATTTTCTGACTTTTAATCAGTGTTGGTCAAGTTACTTGAAAAAAGTAATCAGTAACTAATAACTGATTTCTTCCCCACAAAAGTAATCCCGTTACTTTACTGATTACTTATTTTCAAAAGTAATTAATTACTTAGTTACTTAGTTACTTTTTAAAAACACGATTTACAACCTGAAGAGGTGATAAAGTGATAGATCTTTCAGCCCAATTCTACTTTTTCTACATAATCCATCCATCCATCCATCCAAAATGTAATCAAATGGAAAAGTCTCTTTTTTAAACTTGTTTTATTAGTTTTAATCTTTTAACTTTATGCATCAAGCAAATATTTAATTATATGCAACATTCTCTGACTTGAATAAATTAGTTTAACATTTAAACCTATTTTCTGCACATTCCAGCACATAAAATAAATTTTTTTTTTTGTTTACACTCACTCTTTCAAATAGATGCAAGTAAAACACAGCAGAAAATAAATAATGCCAAAGACTAGCGGTCCCTGGTGCAGGTGTGCCGCGGTCAGTGGAAGAATCCGCGAGTTTCTCTGTGAGTTTCCCATTACGTCGTTGCGCACTCGGTGCTTGCTTGGAAGTTTAGGGGTTTTTTCGCTGTAAAAAGAAGTTTTCTTCCCACGCACAATGGATGCTAATGTTTTTGTCACTTTTTATGGAATCAAACTTAAAATAAGGTCAGTACTTCCAAGCTTTAAACGCTGCACGGTCATACTCTCTCCCGCACTCGATATATTATCCATTGTTGATCTGCACACAGCTGTTGTCACGAACGTCGCACTTGCTTACGTCACTGTCATGAGACATTCTCGCAAAAAATCAGGGTTTTAGTAACGCAGTAACGCAGCGTTCCTACGGGAAAGTAACGGTAATCTAATTACCGTTTTTGCAATAGTAATCCCTTACTTTACTCGTTACTTGAAAAAAGTAATCGGATTACAGTAACGCGTTACAAGTAAGTTACAAGTAAGTTACAAGTAACGCGTTACTGCCCATCTCTGCTTTTAATACTAGAAAACATTCTCTGAGGTAGACAAGCTAAAATCAGTCCTTAATTTTATGAATATAAGCTAAAGGTCACATAAAATCTACTTAAATTAACTTGCTGTAAGTCTGAAGGTCTCCATGCTTCTTTTTTTGCCATTGTCATTCTAATGCCTTTAGTATTTTCTTCATTTTTGTCAGAACTTCCAAAGTACAAATACTTTGCATCACTCTCCATATAAAAGACATATGTATATCTGAGATTTTCATTTAAAATGTAAAATGTAATAAATTCACACATTCATGATGCCTTTTTAAAAACCAAACCATTAGCAATTATCATAGTGCTACCACCTTGCTTCACACTTGAGCTGATGTTGACAAAACAAAGTGATGGTCAAACTCTTATCTGGTGACGCTGGATGCCCCAAAGCATAATGTCTCAGTGATGTTCTATTAGATTTAGGTCGAACAAGTCAGGGGCCAGTCAATAGTATCAATTTCTTCATCCTCCAGGATCTACATGCATGCTTTTGCCACATGAAACTGGACATTGTCGTACAGAAGGAGGAGCCCAGGACCCAGTGCACCAATGCGGGGTCTGACATTGGGTTCAGGAGTTTCATCCTGATACCTTGTGGTAGTCAGGGTGTAGTTGCCTAGCCTGTAGAGGGTTGTGCAGATCATTTCTGACCCACCACCAAACTGGTCATTCTGAACGAAGTTAAAAACAGCATAATGTTCTCCACAGCTTCTCCAGACCCCTTCATGTTTGTCATATGTGCTCAGGGTGATACTGCTCCCATCTTTGAAAATAACAGGGCACCAGTAGCAGATGGCAATTGGGTCCTTGGTGCCAGGCAGTGAGGCCCACTAGATGATTTCAGGCCCTGAGGTCTATTTCTGATTGTTTGTTTGGTCAGAGACATTCCCTCCAGGGCCCTGGTGGAGGTTATTTATCTAGGGCACTAGCAGTCTCCATCCTGTTTCTCCTTGCAAAAAGGAGCAGATTCCAGTCCTGCAGATGGGTTAAGGACCTTCTAGGGTCCTGTCCAGCTCTCCTAGGTAACTACCTAACTCTTGGAATCTTCTCTGTGAACTTGGGACTCGCCTGGGAGACACAGAAAACCTTCTGGGAATGGCACATATTGATGTGCAATCCTGGAGAGGCTAGACTATCTGTGCAACCTTTGCAGGTTCCAGGTATCTCCTCATGCTACCCGTAGTGACACTGACCCTATCCAAATGCAGAGTTAGTGAAAAGATTGACAGAAAAGATAAGGAGGAGAAAAAAGTAAGTGAGCTCCACTTGTAAAACTATTCCTCTTTTAAAAATTGTCTCGTTGTTCCCCAAATAATAAAAATTAAACTTAAACAGTTTTTTATAAGATGGTTGCCTAAGATGAGCATAAGAACTTGGGGGAAACTTTGAAGTGATATCAGGATAATAATATTAAGAATAATTTTCTAACCTCTGTGAAAAAATAATCAACTATTGATACATTAAATATGTTAGTGTGCCTAAAAAAAAAAGAAAAAAAAAGACCAAGGATCATAACACAAGATTGCAGATTTTTAAGTCAGTGGTCAAACTAAGGGTAAGCAAAAATTACAAAGTACAAACTAAAGTTCTGTGCATTAGTCTGTACCCTAGGGGAGTCCAACTTCAGGCCTCAAGGGCCAGTATCCTGCAGGTTTTAGATATCACCCTGGGTCAACACACCTGAATCAAATGATTCATTCATTACCAGGCCTGGAGAACTTAAAGACATGTTGAGGAGGAAATTAGCCATTAAAATCAGCTGTGTTGGATCAAGGACACATGTAAAACTTGCAGGACACCAGCCCTCGAGGCCTGGATTTGGACACCCCTGACTGTACATGTTAACAGCACACTTGTGGTGAATCTGAGTTGTCTATGCAGGCTCTTGCAGTTGAGTCTTGGTGTTGAGATGTGGAAACTAGAATGAAAAAAGCAAATATTTTAATTCAGTTTAGGCGATAACAAGCATAACATAAACATACCTATTTTGTGGACTCTTATTTTCTTGGCTTTTTTTTTGTTTTAAAACAATTTCTTTTAAAACAGTTGTTAACAACCATCAAGAGACTTTATGGTTGTTAACTTCTCATTACTTGTCAATTAATATGAAGCTCTCCAATAAATTTCCAGTTTCCAGTTATCATGGCAGCTTTGGACCATTTGTCTTCTCAGCGAGGTGGAGGTGGATTACATCAGCTTACTTTGCTTTGCTGAGAACCAGCTGCACCTTTCAGTAAACAGTCAGCCACAACTCTATGACCAAGCTGGAAAAGTCCTGCAGAAAAGTGCAGAGAAGGTTAAAGTCTGCCTCCACTGGGATCACAGAAGTTCTGTTGACCAATCTGTCAGCGAGTTTCTCTTACAGTTTTTACCCAACATCCACTCACTCAGGTATACTGCTTATATGCATATTAATTTACTTATGCCCACATCTATATTTCATCTGTCTTTAACTTCGAATGTGTCATTCAGAAATTATTACATTGAATTAAAACTCTGACTTTAAAGATTTTTCTGATCTCTTGATGAATCTCATCAATAGAGCAGCAGAGGGAACAAAACATTGAGCAGCATGATGATGATGATGATGATGGTAGCAGCTTTATAGTGAGCAGCAGATGAAGATTTCAGACAGCAGAGAGTCTTCATCACTTTGTGTGTCCACCTGCAGATGTAGCAGATGTGTTAGAGCAGGATGAGTGTTTGTGTTGTAAGAGTGTAAAACAGTGTTCAGCTGCTCTGATGGAAGATGTGTTCATCACTGAATTTTTCCCTGTTATTGTTCCAGTGTTGATACAAAGACATCAGATGAAGACAGAATCAGGTTCTTTGTGAACCTGTTCTGTGCAGCAGCAGAGAGAGAACAGCAGACAGG